GGGAGAGGGAAGTAGGCCCAGCTTCCCATGTGATTCAGCTCAGTGCCATTCACTCCCACTGATGGCCCGGCACATTTATGTCCAATCTCCATCTGTTCTGTGCCTGCGGAAGCAGACATACTGTCTGTAACCACTCTGCTCTTCACTGACACCCTCCCCCAAACTTAATTAGCAACAGTGACAAACTGCTGAAAACCTCATGGGTACATGTGACTAAATCTCTTTTTCATAAGTGTCTCTGGGCATAACACTTCAGAACAGGGGACAGGCTGTGCTCTTACAGCTCCTTCCCATGTGGCACTACCGGATGCCCTGCACTCCCTGAGCATCTACCAGATGTGCTCATATGCTCTTTTTAGTATTATGGTGGCATGTTTTGTTTTGTTTTTATATTTATTTACTTTTATTTTTAGTTGTATTGTTGTAGATAAGACACATGCCTTTATTTTATTCATCTTTATGTGGTGTAGGATCGAACTCCAGGCCTCACACATGCCAAAAGAATGCTCTACTGCTGAGCCCCAGCCCCAGCCCCTACTTGTTTGTTTTTAGAGACAGGGTCTCACTCTGTGGCCCAGGCTGGACTTAAACTCTTAGGCTCCAGGATCTTCCTTGAGCCATCACACCTAGGTTGTATGTGTCTTAAATCCCAAAAGAAAGTTTAATTGTTCCTCAGTAGAGACATACTGAACCGCTATTGTGTATCAGGCACTGGTGACACCCAGAGAAACAGCTCTCAGCCTCAGTTTCCCCATCTGTAAGGGGATGACTGCAGCACCTCCTTCTCGGGGTTGTAAGGCCTGAAAGCGCTTAGCACAGTGCTCGCCATTCATTACAGAAACAAAGCTCTCACGCAGACACACCAGGGACAGCAGAGGGACCACGGAAACCAGGCAGACTGTGCAGGTGGGGGGGAGGAGGTTAGCTAGAAAGTCTGCACCCAGGACTAGCTGGCTCAAGAGGAGGGGTCTGAGGAAGACAGGACCCTGGGGAAGGAAAGTCTAGGGACTAGCTGGGCGCAGGGTGCACACCTGTAATCCATCTGGAAGCCGAGGAGGATGGAAAGATCCAGGCCAGCCTTAGCAATTGAGTGAGATCCTGTCACAGATGAAAAAATAAAAAGGGCTGGGATGTAGCTCAGTGGTAAACTGCCCCTGGGTCAATCCTCAGCACCAAAACAACAAATGGAAACTAGGCATGATGGGAGGGAGCCACTGAGGGGCCCTGCAGAATTTTCAACAGGCAGCACCACCCTTGGGCTCCTCAGCACCTCCGGGAGCTGTCTTGCTCTTTGTGTCAGTCCTGCCTCCACAGCCCTCAGGGCCACAGCTGGGTTCCGCAGCAGGCCCCCGGGAACCAGTAAACTACACGAGGGAAGGAGAGCTCTGAGGCAGGCAGGGAATCACTCTTGACTTTCTCCTTTGTTCCCTTCCCAGAAGAGGACTCTGTCTAACATGGAATCCTTCCTAGAATTTTAGAAAAGGGTAAGCTTAGAAGATGCTCCTTCTCTCAGGAAGACAGTAAGAGAATCTGCTGTCACCACTTCTGCCCTGGTGACTTCAGTGCCTGTGACAACAGTGGCTGGGACTGCCTCTTCCCTCCCCCCTCATTTTGTGGAAGAGCAATGACACAGGCACTGAGTTTCTGGAACTAGTTTCCCGGACTGCCTCACCTCCCGGCAAGGTCATGGGTGTGTCCAGAGTGTTTCAAAGGTTCATTTTACATTTTCTAAGCTTCCATTTTAGCAGTCCAAAACTCCCCAGGAAACAAAGCTCTCTCTTCTGCAATGCAGAGCTCTGACTGCGTCATCTCTGTGGGTTTTTTCCAGCCGTAGGAGAGCCCAAGTTTGCTCAGCTGCCTCAGCAGCTCACGTAGTTCCAGAAATTGGCTCTGGGTGGGGGTGAGATGGAGGTGGTGTGGGGGAGGGGAAGGGAACTGCAAATTCCAAGTCTTGAGCAAGTAAGTTGTTTTTCTTGAGGCTCTTCTTGCTTTTACATAAAGATTACAGGACTGCATTAAAGTCAGGACTGGGTCCAATGAGGGTGGACTGGCCCAGACTAGCCTCAATGAAGGACTGCAGAAGCTTCTGTGAAGAGCAGTCAGAATTACTGACACCAAAAGCTCGATCCTTGACCTGATGCTAATCCAATAACTAGGACAAAGTTTTGAAAAAAAGGAAAAACAAGTTTTACTGCTTTGCTTGCAAAGGGGAATACACAGTGGACTCCTGTCCCGGAGGCTGGGATTCTCACTGCAGGGGGAGGGAACAGTGGGCTTTTAAAGAGGGGATACAAAGGCTTCACTCCAGCTGGGCCCAGGGCAGGAGTCATCTGTGAAGTGGCACCCCTTTCTGCACAGAAAAGTCTTACCTGGGCTTCTCCAGAAATCTTCAGCATGGCTGATTTTAGGACTGTCAGCAAGAGAGTCTCTGCAAAGGAGTTCAATATAGATAACTTCTTATTTTCTGTTGCCCTGTTTTTTACTTGGCCACTGGCCAGGAAGACACCAGCACTCCAGGTGCGGGGCACTTTCATACATTTTTCATATACGCATTCAGTTTAGTAGTTTGAGAAATGTGCAAACAAGGCCTCTGGCCTTGAGCTGAGCTTCACATTTTTAAGATAAGTTACCAATTGGGCTCCATAGTAACAGCTGGCAGGGGGAGGAAAAAAAAGAGAAGAAGCTCTCCCCTTCTCAGGTGTTGTCCTTGAAGGGTTAACTTGCCCAGAACAGTGAAAGAAAAAGCTGCTTTTATGTGAACTTCTGCAGACTGTGAACTTCTGAGCCCCTCCCCTTACACTCTGGGTATAAAACTCTGAAACTCCCTGAACTTGGGATTCAGGGGTTTGATTCATTACAGCAAAAGCTGTGCCCTCTGAACCTGGCTGCAGCCAAATAAAACTGTTTCCTGCTATCTTCCGTGCCTTGCCTCGTTTGTCCCTCCAATATCTGTCGCTTGAGGAAAGAACCATTTCTTAGTTGGGATAGGTGCTGGCTCTGAAGTTTGGATTCCTTTATTCCTGTGGTTCATGTGCTGAAGGTTCATTTTGCATCCTCCATGGTTGAGGAAGGGGAGAGGGAGAAGAGGAGGGACAAAAAAGTCAGTTTTAAAATAAACTGTAAAAAAAATAAAATAAAAAACTGTGATGGGGCTGGGGTTATAGCTCAGTTGGTAAATGCTTGCCTTGCATGTACAAGGCCCTGAGTTCAAACCCCAGCACCATAAATAAATAAATAGATAAACTGCGATGAGCTGGGGTTGTTGCTCAGGAGTAGAGCGCTTGCCTCACATGGGTGAGGCACTGGGTTTGATCCTCAGCACCACATAAAAATAAATAAAAGAAGTATTTAAAAAAAACCTGAAATGGCAGAGCAGGTGTTACACAAAAGCATGAAGTGGACTCCTGCTATATTGCTCACCAGGGAAGGGGTGGGGTGGATTCTGGAATTCTCTGGAGGTTTCTGGACTGGTGTGAGTTCCAGAGGCTGAGGTAGGGTACCTAGAGGCCTGACTCTTAAATTTTTGCTGTTTTACTGCTTTTCAGCACCATAGCTCCTTGAAGCCACAGCCAACAGGCCTAAATTCTTTCACATCTCTTCCTGCCCCTTTGCTTATAGAATAAGCATCATTGCTTCTTTGATTTCATCCTATCTTTTCACACAGGAGGAAGTTGCCAGTCAGAAGTTATTGGGTTTGTGCCCAAGGTCACACGGCTGTTTATCAGTGGAGTGACTGCCAGAAAAAAGAATCCAGGGCCTCCTATTTTTAGCCTGGGCTGTTGGAGAGGAGCATGAGGTGACTGGCTAAAATGGACTGATCCTCTTACATTGGTGTCCTTAGGCCTAAATGAAGACTAGGTTTGAGACTAAAGTGGAAGATAAATAATAAGATTTTAAAGTGCCAGTGGAAAAGCAGCTATAGGACTTTATGAAGTCAAAAGGAACATGGATGCCCAGAGACCAAAGGTGCCTGAGAAAAACTCAGTGCTTCGTTGAAGGATCCTTAGTTCCAAGAGATGAGCAGAGGGTACACAACATAATCAGATGGTTATTAATCTCCTCACCAAAACACTTGGCCATTGCAGGCTGTCTTCTTGTTGCTGTTATTATTGCAGTGCTGGAGTGGAACTCAGGGCCTCCTGCCTACTAGGCAAGGGCTCTACCAACAGACTATGTCCCCAGCCTAGGCTGTCCTGTTTAAAGAAATCTTCCAGAAAAGAAGAACCTTCTAGACAAAGAGGAGAAGTCAGGATATTCCGGAGATAGCCAGAGTCTGTTTTGTGAAGAAAACAAAACAAAAAATCTAGGAAGATGAAGGAAGTAAATGTTTGGGTCCAAGCAGTAAAACGGAGCTACTGTCCATAATGTTCTCTAAAAATGTTATTTTTCACTTATTGATGATTGGGGATTAAGTTGGAATCTTCTCCCTGGCCTTTGCCAAGCCATTTCTTTAGGTACAAAAGCTTCCCAAGCACCTAGCTCCATTTAATCCTCTACTTCTTTCCACAACTCGGGAATCAGCTAACCAATATGTGGCCACTCTTAACAGTATAAGAAAAATTCTGTAATATGTAAGGGAAATAGAAATGGTAAATTTAAGAATACTGACAATTATTTAAAGTTCCTTGGGGGGGCTGGGATGTGGCTCAAGCGGTAGCGCGCTCGCCTGGCATGCGTGTGGCCCCGGTTCGATCCTCAGCACCACATACCAACAAAGATGTTGTGTCTGACGAGAACTAAAAAATAAAGATCAAAAATTCTCTCTCTCTCTCTCTCTCTCTCTCTCTCTCTCTCTCTCTCTCTCTCTCTCCCTCCTCTCTCACTCTCTCTTTAAAAAAAAAAAAAATAAAGTTCCTTGGGGCCTTAACATTCATTTCAGGGGTCCAGAGCAGGCCTAGGCCCTCCCCCAGCCATGGAAAAACCACAATATCACGGAGGGAGACAGGAGGTTTGGGGGAGGAATAAAAGCAGCAGAAGGTCATAAATGAGGGATTCAAGAACAGCTTCTGCTAGCTAATTGTGTCTAATTTTAAGCAAATCATCAACTCCCCAGGCTTCCAAATCCCTATCTGTAAATCGTGGTGACCTGACTCAGTTTTCTTCCTTCCAGAGATAAAATTCTATTTAAAATTTTCCAATTCCAGAGCAAGCATCAAGACCGTGTCCAAAGGGAAACCAGCTGCATCTCAGTAATATTCCACTCTTAAGCCTTTAGAAAAAGAAGCAAAAAAGATAAATCAGGAACAGCTTTGACAGAGTCAGTGGACAAAACCTGCTGAAACTGGCCCCCTGGCCAGCACCCCATCCCTTCACAACCACTACTGTCATTTACAGGAGCCAAAGGGCTTTTGCTAATAAAAACATTTAAAAATAAAGCAAAGTATCAATTCACCCACTTTCTTTGTCATTATTCAGTTGCCATCCCAACCCACGCAGGGTCACAAGGTTTCCTCTCTTGGAAGCCGATGCCTAAAACAGGGCAGTTTGAGGCTGGGGTGACTCAGGGGTGGAGGGAGGCCCTGGGGTCCATCCCAGGACTCAAGGGAGGCACTTTACAGGTAAGATCCTGTTGGTAAGCAAGGGGCGAGAAGGTGGCGTCATCACTGTGTCCTTGGTGCCAAGCTCCAGTCCTACGCCCGGACTGAGTGCTTCGTCTTGAGCCACCGGCTTGTTTCTCTTCTAAAAGGCCTGGCAGCAGCTAGGTCAGCCTGAGACCCCCTTCTGGTCAGAACCCGGACTAATTATGATATTGCCAGTTATTGGTGATGAGTGAGTTCTGCTTCCTCACAATGTGAAGTCTGAACCTTAGAGCATCACACCGAGGCAAGGACATAAAGCAGGGTTTATTTAAAAAGCACTGGACTCCTAACACAGACTCCTCCTGGAGGGAGAGGGGCCACAGCTGTACTCTGGTGTGCCAAGAAGGGAGGCTGCCCTCTCTATCTGTCCTGGGGTCCTTTGTCCTCCTGCTCTCCTCCTTCCTGTGGGTGTGACTGGGCCTAGGAAGTGCTGGTGGGGTGGCTAAAGGTAGGGGGAAGGGCAGGGTGGACAGCCCTGGACACAGTCATCCACAGCTTCAGGACTCCCAGTAGGGAGGGGCCCTCTTGGGACAGGTGACCTTGGCAAGGGGCAACGGGCAGGGGCAAGGTCTGGATCAGAGTGGAGGAAGGGCTCCCCGGAATGAACATTTCAATCCCTCAGGGGACATTCTCCGACGTCCCCCACTCACTCAAAATTAGCCTCCTTGATCGACCAGACTCAGTTTACCTGTCTCTACCGCCTGCCTGCCTAATTCTGGCTTCAATTACATCTGGTGACCTCCAAAGCGTGTTTCCATAAAGATACAGCATTGGATAATTAGCAGGGATGGTGTGTTCATTTTTAATGACGGGGAGAGGAAGGAAAGGAAGGAGGAGGGGCAGCGAGAGGCTCCTCCGGGGCAAGACCAGAGCCCACGTGCGAGACCCCCAAAACCTGGCGACCAGAAAGACTAGGCTCGTCCTCGCTGCGCCCTGCCCCCACCCGGGTACGGCTGCAGTACTGGGGGTGGGGCACGCCTGCGCACTGAGGCTCTGCGTCAACCGCCCCAGCTCGCGGCCAGGACCGGCTGGAGCCGGTTAGAACAGGCAGCGCCCGCCCGCGAGCCGGCGCCTCACAAAGGGAGGGCGGCTCACGGACCTCGTATCCTTGCGCGGCGCGCCTGCAGCCCCTCCCCCGGCCTTTGTCCCCAGCGGAAGGGGCCGCAGCTGGCTTTGGACTTCCGGGCGCTCCCCTCCCCCTCCTCCTCTGAGGCGGAGGATTCTGGAAATGGAGGGCCTCGCCGCCGTGTCCGCTGCAATTGGGTGCAAATTCGTGTTGGGGAGCTGCACGGGTGCCGAGATCTCTCCAAGAGCCCCTGAAGCAGCTCCAGGGAGAGTTCTGTTGAAATAAAATAGAAGTTCTCAAACCGCAATAAAAAGCTTTGGGGTTTACAAAAATTCTCTCCTTTTGCTGCCCGCCCCTCCCCCGCACAAGGCAAGCTCAGGGCGAAGTAGGGGATGGTACAGAATCCGTAGAGCCACCCCCGCGCCGACGCAGGAGCAGGGGTTTGTAAGCAATGGGGGTCCCGGAACTGCTTTCCTCGAGGCAAGGCTGGCTCCTCCTGCGGGGGGACTTTGAAAAGGTGGCGATGTGGCTGTGGGTAACTGTGAGAGGCTGGAGGACGACTGAAGGGGGCCGGGAAGCGAGCTTAGGGAGGAAGGTGCAGGGGTCCCCCAGGCCCGGCCTCCGCCGGGGCCGTCCCTACGAGTGGGTGTTTTCATGCCGAGACTCCCAGATCGCCCGGGGGCTTCTCCAATGAGCCAAACCGTGTGCTGTCCGCTCAGCGCCGAGGCGCAGGGTCTGGCTCGGGGAGAAACCATTTTGTCCCTGCCATTTGCTTGCTATCGCCCAGTTACAAAATGGAGATTCAGCCATTTCAAACCCAATCCGACCTTCCTCCAAAGGACTGTAAACTACCTACTGCACCGAGAAAACAGGAAAGGTGGCTTTGAGAGCTATTTTTAGACGTCCCTAGGAGTTTCTGTGAACTTCTGGATAAAGGACTTAAATGTAATAATCATTTCTTTAATTAGCCTACATTGTAAGCTTAAATCTACTTGCAAGTGGTTCTTAAGTATTTCCGGGTATTAGTTTTCATTCAAATTCCATACATTGTAAAGAAAAATCCAGAAAGTTTAGAAGTCAGAGTCTATTTTTAGTCCTGCAGAGGAACTATTTTTCCTTCCCTCACAAAGGTGGCGGACGGCTACTTGGTTCCGGCTGTGTGAGTTGTCAGTGGCCTATAAATACGCCTCTCCCCACTCTGCGGCAGGCATTCAGGCAGCGAGCGCAGAGAGAGAGCACAGGAGGCGGCAGCGCAGCTTGAGGAAGCGGCAGATAAGTTGTTCTATCTGAAAAGATAGCGACTAGGATAACTATCAGACATAAATAGGGAATAGCTTTCTAAAATACTGCTTAGCGTTAAGTTCTTAAAGTAGTTTTAATGCCATTTAAAAAGATTTTGAGGAAACTAGGCTTTAAAAGCTTGAGAAAGGAAGATAGAAGAAAAAGGTGTTCGTACATGGCAGATTGAGACGAAGCTTCTTAGTAGAGTAAAAAAAAAATTTAAAGAAGTTGTCTAAAGAGGACTGCAGAGTCCTTAATAAAAGCCTTTAGTTGAAGTGCAGCCGTGTAAACTAACATTAAAGCGATTTAAACAGAATCTAAGCCTGGTTTAAAAGAGTGAAGCTGTAGGTGGTGAAAAGTCATTTAAAAGTACAGTATAGGTGATAATTGGAAGGCTTTAAAAGGTTAAATTGAAGGTGGTTAAGATGCCTTCACGGCGGAGGAAAGATTGCGTCATTCGAAGCCTAGTTAGTCTGAAAAGCATTACTTAAAAAAAACCCCATGGAAATGGGAAAATATAAGTTAAAAGCAATTTGGAGAAAGAAGATTAGAAATTTGAAGTGGAAAACTGAAGACAGAAGTACAGGAAGGTGAAGAAGAGATAGAGAAGATGTAGGAAGATAGAGAAGATGTAGGAAGACAAGAATTTTAAACCCACAAAATAGGAAGCAAAAGAAAACTAGGAGGAAAAAAAGCAATTAAGGGTGAATGTACAAACCTTAGAAGAAAACTAGAAGATAGAAAAACAAGATAGAAAATGGTTGAAAATGTCAAGTAAAGGTATTTCAGATAGAAAATGCAAGAAGCTAAGACAACTATTGGATACAGACATTCAAGATAGAAAAAGGTAGAAGAGAAGTTTGAAGTCGAATATTGGATAAAATAGAAGAACAAGGAAATTATTAGTAATTTTTCAAATTTTTTCAAAAAGCCCATCAACTTTAATTTCTGGTGGTGCAGAAATTAGAAGTCTCAGATGAGGGTGTTCAAATTTGCAGACGAGCCAATTTAGAAAACGTTAAACTAGAAGGAAATTGGTTTAAAACCACATCAAAAAAATTAAAAGGACTTAAGTAATTCTAAAAACTAAGGCAGAATGCTTTTGGAAGACTTGAACTTAAAAAGGCTTTAGATCCAGTAGTTTAGTTTGCTTTGAAAAATATAAAGGACTTTGATTACTCAAGTATTTCAAGATCAAGAATAATGTGTTTGCATTGGACTTTGAGCTAAGATGATTTGTAAAATTGAGGACTAGCGTTAATTGGCAGCTGACCCAGGTGCTACACAGAAGTGGATGCAGTGAACCTAGGAAGACAGGATTCCAGGAGCCAGAGTTTGATGAAGCTAGGACTGAGGAGCAAGCAGCAGTTCGTGGTGAAGATAGGAAGGAGTCCAGGAACCGGTGCTGTTTGGTGAAGGAAGCTAGGAAGAAGGAAGGAGCCCTAACGATTGTGGTGAAGCTAGGAAGGCATTCCAGGAAGGAGCAGCCAGTGGGATTTGGTGCTGAAGCTAGCTGGCGTCTTTGGCTTGTCAACTACTGCGGAGGAGGCGAGCATGCATTGTGGAGAATAGCTAGCCGACCCTAGACCAGCATGGCAGTGTGCGAGGCTTCGGGGAGAGCGAGTGGTGTGGTAAAAGTCCGGGCAGTTGGCGATGTCGTTTATTTTGTAACTTGAGCGTGGTAACTTTATTTACTTGTTTCCTAATGATAATGGGGGAGTTGTACCTCTGGAGAGGGATTTTCTTGGGGGTGTGTGTATGCATATAGGCCGATTTCCGGGTGTTATAGGTTTTTCTTTTTCAGGCTTATGTTCTCATCTTTGTCTGAAGCTTTTGAGGGCAGACTGCCAAGGCCTCCAGAAATGGTAGATGGCAAGTTTGTTTTTTTCACCAGTGTGAAGGAAAAGTGAATTTTACAGAAAATACAACTTATGCAAATTTTCAAGCAGCTTGTGTTTTTAGTTGGCAATGAAGTATTTGGTGAATAGATGACTCATTTTCCTTTTCCTCACCCTGAATTAGTTTTGTAAATGAGTCTGGGTGTTAATGGGGGGGGTAGTGTTTTTTTTGTGTGGTGGGGATGGCAAAATGCTTTTGAGTTTTTTTTCCCCTTAGGTCTTTCTAGACTCCTAAAGGCAAATGACTCCAGGTAACAGAAAAAAAGAAAATCCAGTATCAGGATAATCAGAACACCACAGGTTTACAATTTCTAGAAACTAGATCCACGAATAGCTCTCACTTTGGAGGAGCTGTCCTTTGGAGAAATGGCTGGTAGTTAACTCTTTCTTTCCCCCCTTAATCAGACTTCTAAAGTGTTTTAACCCCTTAAACTTATTACTGAAAGTATTTGGGGATGGTCTTTAACAGGGAAGAGAGGGGGTGGGGGAGCAAATGTTTTTTTTCTAAGATTTTCCACAGATGCTATAGTACTATTGGCAAACTGGTTAGAGAAGGCATGTACTGCTATGCTGTTGGCACGAACACCTTCAGGGATTGGAGCAGCTTTTATCCTTGGAAGAGTTTTCCCAATTGAAGCTGAAAAGTACAGCACAGTGCAGCTTTGGTTCATAATCAGTCAACTCAGGAGAACTTCAGAAGCGCTTGACTAGGCCAAATGTTGAAGTTAAGTTTCCAAAGTAATTTAAAATACTCATTAAAGGGGAGGGGAAATTTTTGGCAATTAGTTGGCAGTGGTCTATTGTGGTTGGGGTGGGGGGGTTAGGTAATTGTTTAGTTTATGATTTCAGATAATTCATGCCAGAGAACTTAAATACTTAGGATGGAAAACTAAAGAACTCTACTTCCAAGTTGGCAAGTAACTCCCAATCATTTAGTTTTTTTTCCACCAATTTTGGAATTGGGCATCCTGGGAAGATTTCATTGGGTGTACCAGTGCATTATTAATTTCAGCAAGGATAGTAAATCATGGTATGGTATCTGTTCCCCTGTGTAGGTCTTGGGGAAGGATAAGTGTTGGATTGGGGGTTGGTCTGGCTTATTGTAATGACATCGAATAGCAACAGTCTTGGGGAATTTTTAAAGCTTAATTTTGGATATAGATGGTAGTGTGTGGTTCTCTTTTGGAATTTTTTTCAGGTGATTTAATGTAACTTAATACTACTATAGGAACTTCAGAGCAAAGGAAGTGGCTTAATGATCCTGAAGGGATTTCTTCTGATGGTAGCTTTTATATTATCAAGTAAGATCCTGTTTTCAGTTGTGAGCAAGTTTTTCTAGTGTAGGAAAAATTTTTCCTTTGGCAAAACAAGATGTAAAGGTATGAAATTTTGTGAATTGTATCTTAAACTTGTAACTATTTGTAAATCATAACTTATTAAGAATTGTGATACTTAAATGTCTCTTAGAGGGTGGGCATTTGATGAGGGAGGGGAAACCTTTTTTTTCTGTAAGACTTTTTTCAGATAACATCCACTGAGTCATAACAAGCCTGGCAGTATGATGGCCTAGATGCAGAGGGAACAGCTCGTTGGTGAATGATAAGTAAAGGCAGAAAAGATTATGTCATACCTCCATTGGGGAATAAGCATAACCCTGAGATCTTACTACTGATGAAAATATTGTCTGCATATAAAAAAGAGAAAGCTACCAATTTAAAGTTTTATGGAATCCACCATTTTAAAATTATGGCTTATTGAGCTATATTCACAAAAGAATTGATGAGAAACATGAAGATCAAATGTCCATCTCGAAACACTGCTTTTACAAAAGCAGAATAAAATGGAAAGAAATGAAAATGATTATACTACCTTGTTCCTGAAGTAAAAGAAGCTTGAAATAATTGAGTTGGGATCAAGTGGATGTGAAAGGAGGCTGTGCTGTGTGCCAATCTTTCGTTTGCCTCAGACAGGTTTCTCTTCCGTTATCAGAAGAGTTGCTTCATTTCATCTGGGAGCAGAAAACAGCAGGCAGCTGTTCACAGATAAGTTTAACTTGCATCTGCAGTATTGCATGGTTAGGGATAAGTGCTTATTTATAAGGTGTTGAACCGGGGGCACTCTTTCCTGACCCCTTCCTTAGGGGGATTTCAGGATTGTGAGACATTTTCCCATCTAGCCTTTTTAAATTATGCCTTGTGCCTGTGGGCTTCCATGATGGGATGGTACACCTCAGAGGCATTTGCACCATAATTCCTTAAAAGCCTCTTAAGTGACTAGTGCCTTAGTCATAATGCTTAACAAAACAAAGGAAATATTTTTAACATTGAATCTATAAAACCCTAAAAGGGATAGCATAATATACTGTGAAGAGTCAAGCTATGTTAATTTTGATAAAATTTCCATGTTACCTTACAATGTATATCGTGCCTAAAACCATTAAATCGTATAAATTAATAAAATATTTTATTAGAGAATGTATGCTTTTAGAAAGCTGTCTCCTTATTTAAATAAAATATTGTTTGTCTGTAGTTAGTGTTGGGGCAATCTTGGGGGGTATTCTTCTCTAATCTTTCAGAAACTTGTCTTCGAACACTTTAATGGACAAGATCAGAATTGAGCGGAAGACCGAATTTTAACTTTAAGGCAGGAAAGACCAATTTTATTCTTCATAAAATGATGAGCATTTAATTAATAATTCCAGGCACATGACAATAGAGACCCTTAAATAAGGAATAAATACCTTTTAGACAGGTGGGAGATACAGATCAGAATAAAAGGTAACTACACATTTTGTTTCCAGATAGCCAGGGGTCTAAGTTGACGGTGATTGAACTAGAATAAGATAATTTTTCCACATTTCCATAGTTTGCATGTTAACTTTAAATGCTTATAATCTCATCAATTGTTGGCCAATGTTTTACACAATTCAGCTAGGAGTTGGGGGCATGTGGGTTTTTTAAGAATTTTCCTTTGCAGAGGCTTCATTTCATCCTTCATGAAGCTGTTCAGGATTTTGACTTGCATATGAGTGCTTGGCTCTGCCTTCTGCTAGTGAGTGTGAGACCTTGCAGTGAGTGTATCAGAATACTCGAATTTTCCTGGAATTTGGAGGGAAGGGAGGAGGGGATGGGGCTTACTTGTTTTAGCTTCTTTTTTTACAGACTACACAGAGAAAATGCAGTTGTCTTGACCTCAGGTCTGTCTATTCTTTTGGCAAGTAATAATGCAGTACTGTTCTGATCTGCTGCTATTAGAATGCATTGTGAAACGACTGGAGTATGATTAAAAAGTTGTGTTTCCCCAATGCTTGGAGTAGTGATTGTTGAAGGAAAATCCATGAGTGATAAAGGCTGAGTGTTGAGGAAATTTCTGCAGCTTTAAGTAATCCATGTTTGTGATTGAAGCCAAGTACCTTTTGCTGTGCTGCTTTAGGTAAAATGCTTTTTGTTCTTTCTGGTAGGGGGGTGGGGGGACACTGAAGCCTTTAGTCTTTTTCAGATTCCACCTTAAAATCAGTGACAAGAATAAATTCAAACAAGCAACTCTTCAAGAAATTTAACTGGCAAGTGGAAATGTTTTGAACAGTTCAGTAGTCGTCAGTGCATTGTCTTTGTGTGGGTTTCTCTCCCCTTCCCTTGGTCTTAATTCTTACATACAGGAACATTGAGAACAGCAGACATACGTATGCGAAGGGCCAGAGAAGCCAGACTCAGTAAGGAAAAAATAGCCTATTTACTTTAAATAAACAAATCAAATATTTCATTTTAAATGTGGGAATTGGGAACTACTAGTCTTTCAGATGGTATTCTTCAGACTATAAAAGGAACTTCCAGTTGATTTCACCAGTGGACAAATTGAGGACAACAGGTGAACAAGCCTTTTCTATTTTTACAAAGATCAGTTATGGGTAAATGACTCAGTGTTGAACAGACTTCAGCTTTATGCTGGAGTCAGTAGCATGTGATCAAGTTGTGTGTCGGCCTTGGGGGTGGAGGGGTGAGGTGGGCGCTAAGCCTTTTTTTAAGATTTTTCAGGTACCCCTCACTAAGGCATCGAAGGCTTAAAGTAGGACAACTGGAGCCTTCCTGTGGCAAGAGACAACAAAGCGCTATTATACTAAGGTCAATCAGAGTGGTTTCGGCCTCAACCTAATTTTTATTAGCAATGAGGACTTGCCTCAACACCTTTTGGTGTGCATACGAATGCTCCTGGGCTTACCTTAATATTTGAATAGCTGTTTTTATAGCAGCTTATGAAAAAGCCCAGATCTCAAGCGGTGTTTGAGGGGAGGGAAAGGGGGAAAGCGGGCAACCAGTTTTCCCTAGCTTTTCCAGAACCTGTTTAAAGCAAGGTCTCCCCACAAGTGACTTCTCTGCCACATCGCCACCCCCTGCCTTTGGCCTAGCACAGACCCTTCACCCCTCACCTCGATGCAGCCAGTAGCTTGGATCCTTGTGGGCATGCTGCATAATCGGTTTCAAGGTAACCATGGTGCTGAGGTCTGGTGGGTTGCACTACTTTAGAAGAGGCCATTAATCTATAAATTTTTAACAGAATATTAAAACCACAAAAATAGCTGTCTTTTATGTATATACACTTATCCAGTGACTAAAACCAACTTAAACCAGTACATAGAGAAATGTCAAGAATGTAATATTGGGTGGGAACATGACTTGTTAGCTGAAGAAGATAGACTTTAGCAGTGGAGAGGACTGCTGGGTGGGATTGCAAAAATTCTCTGCTAAGACTTTTTCAGGTGAATATAACAGACTTGGCCAAGCTAGCATCTTAGCTGAAGCAGATTCTCCAGTGCTCTTCAGTAGGGTTGTAAAAGGTTTTTCTTTTCCTGAGAAAACAAATTTTTGTTTTCTCAGGTTTTGCTTTTTGGCCTTTCCCTAGCTTAAAAAAAAAAAAAGCAAAAGATGCTGGTGGTTGGCACTCCTGGCTTCCAGGACGGGGTTCAAATCCCTGCAGCGTCTTTGCTTGATTCTTAATATCTGTCTTTAGGAGGTGCTGTCTCAGAAGGTGGGAATGCCTCAGAACTATACACAGCTCTTTTTTTTTTTTTTTAACATTTTTTAGTTGTAGATGGACATAATACCTTTATGCCTCATGCATGCTAGGCAAGCACTGTACCACTGAGCCACAACCCCAACCCTATACATAGCTTTGTTTGAAGTGGGTTGTAGATTGTTTTCATGTGAGTATCTGATAACTGTTGTCTTTTTCAGGTAATCCTGCATCTAGTGCTTGGATAAGCCCCATTTTGTGAAATAAAAAAATTGAAAAGCTCTATACCAGTGTTTCCTTTGTTTATTAGCCTTTTATGTTAGTGTGCCATAACTTATCTGTATAAAGTACACTGAAAGTTCAGCCAGTGCAGTGACACATGCTGTAATCTGCAGCAGCTCAGGAAGTGGAAGCAGAAGGGAAGGATGTGAGTTCAAAGCCAGTCTTAGCAAAAGTGAGGGTGCACTAAGCAACTGAGACCTTGTCTCAAATACAGTAGCAGTTGGGAATTAAATCCCCAGCATCCCCCCCAAATGTATTGAGTGGGTGATGGTAGCCTTGACTGCTGTTTAATTTGTGGTTAAATAAACAACTGCAGGGATTATGCTGTAATATTTAAATAGGGAAAGGGACTTGAGGATAAAAGGTTGAGGGTAGTGGGAAGGGAATAAATTAACAGCAGTGGTTCAGGCTCTGTTCTGCTCCTTGTTGGTCGACCAACTAACTATTCTCTGGTCACCAAGCTATTGGGTCTCCCTAAACCCTATGATTTTTTTTTTTCTGTTGGGATACTAACAGCATGTTTGTGGGAGGACTGGCCTGTACCCCATGTGTGGTGGTCCTCCCACTCTGCACCCAAATTTTTTTTTTTTACTAGGAATGGAACTTATTTTTAGGGCCTATGCTAAATTGCTGGGGCAGGCTTCAAATTTGATCCTCAGGCCTAAGCCTTCTGAGTTGCTGTTAATTGGCATGTGCCACCACTCCTAACTCTTCACCTCCAACTTCCCCTCAGGTGTGCTCCTTCCTGTTGTTGCTCAGACCCCAGTCCTGGAGTGTAATGCCCATTCCAGGAAAGGCCACACCTTAGAGGTTGGGCAAATGAAGTTGAACCCAGCACCCTCCCAACTCAGAGGCAGGGTGGACTAGAGGTGACAGGCCCTCAGAAGAGACATCTTTGAACACAGCAAGGGCCTTGCCCAGTGCATTTGTGCACACCTATAATCCCAGACTGACCACTTTGAGAGACTATCACCCTAGAGCTGAGGGTGGAGCTCTGGGTGAGCACACCTGGATTCAATCCCGCTATTGCCTGTCAAACTGATTAGTCTCTGCTAAGGAAATTGCTGGATTTGAATTGTAATCAGTCTCCAATATGTGATCCTCCCGCCGCTTTTTTCAGGAGAAAAAGTGGCTCAGACAGGTCGGTCAGTTTTGCAGACCAACTCTGACCTTTTCCCTTGAGGTGATATAATGGGAGGGGGGGACCAGCTTTCCCTATTTAGGGGAGAAGTGGAAGTAACACCGCATAGCACCCTGTCTTGGATAAGGGTCCATTCTGAACTGGTGTACAGCCTCAGGGTCTTCTGGAGTAAGTTCCTTGTATTTCCAGAACCTTCAGCTCTGAAGGAACAAAGACTTCCTTCACTATAGAACAAATTAGTATGAGCAGGAGCTTGGGATTTGCTAAGGTCTCTGTGATTCCTAGTGTTGGCCAGGATTGGAAATGTAAAGACAGATAAGAGTGAGCATAGGAAGGGCAAAAAAGTACTAGTCCAGAAGCCACATCTACCATCTGAGTGCAAAAAGGGAAGGGAGAGCGAAAATTTCCCAGAAGGTTATGCTCAGATCAAAGGGCCTGATTTTAATATAAACAGACCCCAGGTATGTCCTTTTTTGTGCTGCTCTTGGTATACATTTTAATAACCCTGAATTCCCTAGCCTCTCCAAGCCCTTCCTCTCAAGGCCCAGGCCTGGGGCCAAGGGCTGGTTGGTATAAACCCAGCAGCAGATCTCTGGTTTTAGTAAATGAATGAAATTGGGAAAGGAAGAATTTAGGGAGAAGGGAGGCAACAGGGTTTAGGGGGAAATTTAGGAGGGTCTACCTGGGTTGTTGATTCAGAAGTCCTGAAAATCAGGAAGTCATGTGTCAGATCCTGGATCCTGGCTCTCACCAGGTGGCAAACTTTGAAAATATAGCCTCCCCTGTCCAGGCCTCCGTTTTCCCACCTGCAAGTGGGGATAATGCCCTGTGTGCCAGGAAGAGCCTTAGAGAGGCATTTGGATCCAACAGGAAATGACTGGACTTTGCTTCCCTCTAGTGGATAAATGCGGTATTGCACAGTCCTTGGATTATGTCGTTAAAATAATTTGGTTCAGCAAATATTTATTTTGCTGAGTAATATTCCATTGTGTGGATATTCCATAATTTTTCAATCCATTCTCCTGTGAGTGTAAGTTTGAGTTGGTTCCAGTTTTTTGGAAGTTATGAATAAAGCTGCTATAAATATTTGTGTACAGGGCTGGGGATGTGGCTCAAGTGGTAGCGCTCTTGCCTGGTATGCGTGGGCCCGGGTTCGATACTCAGCACCACATACAAAGATGTTGTGTCCACCGAAAACTAAAAAATAAATATTAAAAATTCTATCTCCTGTCTCTCTGTATCTTAAAAAAAATTTGTGTACAAATTGGTGTGTAGAGTGTGGGGTTGTGGCTCAGTGGTAGAGCGCTTGCCTCGTACCTGTGAGGAACTGGGTTTGATCCTCAGCACCACATAAAATAAATAAGTAAAATAAAGGTATTGTGGCCATCTACAACTATAAAAATATTTTTAAAAACATCTGTATGGAGGTATGCTTTCTTTTCTTGCTTGGGTTGCATGCTTCTCTTTTATAAAACCTGAGAATCGAACCCAGGGCCTCACATGTGCTAGGCAAACACTCTAACACTGAACCACAACCCCAGCCCATGCTTTTTTTTAATGAACTGACAGAGACTTGGGGTGTAACTCTGGTGGAGAGCTTGCCTAGCATACATGAAGTCCCTGGGTTCAATCCTCAACACTGTTTATTTGTTTTGTTTTTTAAAGGAACTTCTAAAGTGATTGTACCATTTTTGCATTCCCAACAACATAGGAAAGTTCCAATCACTGTACATTTTCACCATTACTCGGTGGAGACTTGAATTTTATCTATTTTAGTGGATGTGTAGTGGTATGTTATTGTGATTTTTTTTTAATTTTTTTTTTTTTTTTTTTAGTGTTTCTTGTCTTTATTTGGGGTGGGAGGGAGACAGAGTGAGAGAAGGTTGAGAATGGGTGACCTACTTTTCCTCAAACAGGAAGTACTGTCATTCTGTGGCAGGTTCACCTGAAGGGATATATTGCATTTTAACAGCATCCACGACTGTTTGGTTGAATTTTTAAATGAGAAATTTTTTGTTCCTTTTGACACATAATGCACATTGGCATTAGGTGAGTGGGTCTGGCATTTGTAAGGTGGACTGGCAGAAGTGGTTGCGTGCGCTCTGGCTGGCCCAGACTCATCAAGGGGCAGCTTGGCAGTGGAGGCAGTGGGCAGGGGCAGAAGACTCATCACAGGAACAGTGACTAGAGACGTGGGGGGTCAGGAGCAGGTGAAGGACAGGGCAGGCCAGTGCTGCAGACTCCAGGCAGGCAGCCTTTGAGAAGGGACAGAAGAGTAAGAATGAAGACAAGCCCAGCCAGTGAGGTCTGGGGGGTGGAGGCAAGGAGGGGAGGTGCCAAGGGCTCCAGATGGAGCAGTGACTGCTCTCCCCAGATGCCACCAGGGATGATGTGCAGTGAGCACTGCTTGGCAGGGGAAGGCTAAACTCAATTACAACAGCAGGGGCCAGGCTCTGCTGGAGATAGCGCAGTACCTCCAGCTCCCGCAGCTGTCAGGCCCACAGGGACACCAAGGGCCAGCTGCAGATTTTTTTTTTTTTAAGAAATTTTTAATGTTTATTTTTCAGTTTTTCGGTGTATATAACATCTTTATTTTATTTTATGTGGTGCTGAGGATCGAACCCAGTGCCCCACGCATGCCAGGCGACCGCATTACCGCTTGAGCCACATCCCCCAGCCCCTGCAGATTTTTAAATTTTTAACTTTTTTCTTTTAGTTCTGGGAATTGAACCCAGGATCTTGTTCATGCTGGGCAAGCTCTTTACCACATTGAGCTCAAGCCCAACACTTTTCAATTTTTTTTTTTTTTTTTGAGATTGGGTTCCACAAAGTCTCCCAGGATGGCCTGTAACTTGTGATTCTTCAGCTTTAGCCTCCTGAGTTGCTGGGATTGCAGGCATGTGCCTCTGTGCCTAGGGTTATTGTGATTTTCTGATGCTTTCATTTACATTGCCCTAATGACTAGTGAGCTGAGCATCTTCTCCTGTGCTTATTTGCCATTTATTTTATTTTATTTTATTTTTTAATTTTTTTTTTTAGAGAGAGAGAGAGAGAGAATTTTAATATTTATTTTTTAGTTTTCGGCTAAAAATAACATCTTTGTTTGTATGTGGTGCTGAGGATCGAACCCGGGCCGCACACATGCCAGGCGAGCCCACTACTGCTTGAGCCACATCCCCAGCCCGAAATTTTAAATCTCAAACAAACTACTACATACATAAAGTGATGTGGAGGGATTTCAAAATAATTATGAAAGAAGTCAGCTTTTTGTTTTTTAGTTTTATTTTTAAATATGTTTTGTTGTGCTGAGGATGGAACCCAGGGCCTCATACAAGTCAGGCAAGTACTCTGCCACTGAGCCACATCCTCAGTCCAGGAAACTAGGTTTTTTGTTTTTGGTTCTTTTTAGTTATACATGATAGTAGAACCCATTTTGATAAAATCATGGGGGCTGGGGTTGTGGCTCAGCGGTGGAGCGTTCACCTTGCACATGTGAGACCCTGGGTTCGATCCTGAGCACCACATAAAAATAAATAAGTGAAATAAAGGTGTTGTGTCCAACTACAACTAACAAATAAATATTTAAAAAAATCATGGACTATATCTTGTTCTAGTTCAGTTCCCAGTACCTCTCCTTCCCCTTCCCTCCCCCACCCCCTGCTCCCTTCCTTCCCCCACCCCCTGTGCCCTTCCCTCTACTGATCTTTTTTTAAAAATATATTTAATTGTAGATGGATGTAATACCTTTATTTTTTATTTATTTTTATATGGTGCTGAGGATTGAACCCAGTGCCTCACAGGCGCTAGGCAGGCGCTCTACCACTGAGCCACAATCCTAGCCCCCCTTCTCCTGATCTTTCTG